GCTGAAACATTAATAAGTCAGAAAAGAAAACCAAAGTAGGACAGTTCTGATCTAATTGATTTGTTTTGTCCTCGTGGCAGCAAAACTAACTCTGCATTACTGTCCTGGTGCAGATGAATACCCAAGAAAGAAGCCTTTAATTTTGGCTTTATTTAATAGAAAAGCCAATGCAATAAATGTTAGCCAAGTATGATAGTAAATCTTTGTGGGAGGAAGAAAGGTTTTTAAGCTATAAAACATTTGCTAAAATGAACTGTAAAAATTAATTTTCAATATTTATTTGTCAGAATCTTTCCATTTTTTTCCCATTTCTTTTTTTTAATAATGCTGTTTTACAACAATCATCTGCCTGGCAGAGAAGGAAATTAATCTGTGAGGAACTAGGGAAGCCTTATGTCCTATTGATTTCTATCCTGTGCTTTGTATTTTCACCTGTTTCTCTCTCTGTTTCCTGTGCTCATGGGGCAGGAGGGACCATGGCTAGGTCAGTTGGCTACTCACTGGCCACCAACCATTTGTGTGCTGCTTGCTGGGTTTACTGGGACTCCCAGGGCATGGGTTTGAGTCTTGCTTGTCTTCCTGGGGCAAATTGCCATCATCACTGGAGGAGATTTCCCAGTTGCTCCAAAGGAGGTCACAGGTAGTCAGTTAGGCACTCAGACAGCACCAGTGCCTCCAGTGTGTGCCCTTAGGCATCCAGGCTCTCCTTGGAATCCCAGGGACTGTTTTAATTCCCTGTATTGGGTTATCTGACCTATTTGCTGTCGTGTATTTATTATACTTGAGATACAGTGATTATAGCCTGTATTTATCACTTCCACTGGCTTCTTCTACCTCCTGTGTTTTTATGCTGGCTGATCCTGTTCAGATATTAAGCTCTGTGTGGGTGTGTGCAGTAGATGTGAGTATAAGAAGAGATGCTTTCTTTTGGTGGAATTAAATTTTGAAGATTAAAATTCAGTATTTTACTTTTCCTTATCTTTCATAAAGACTTTCATTAATCCTACCCTAATATCTCCTGAAGGTGACTGGGGGAATCTGTGCTTTTGATTAATGTTTGTTTAATGCAGGATTATCTCTATTATTCATGTGTTTTATTCACATTAAAACTGTGCCTATCAGCTCATTCTCATGTTGAGTAATCAGATACAGTTGAGTGAGGAAGGTGAGCATTAATAGACTAAGTGACTGCTTAAGCACAGCAAAGGGCAGAACAAATACAATCTATGGCACACGGAGTCGTTTCCAGTATTCCTCTGACTTACAGTGGTCACACAGTGTAGTAACCATTCTTTTCTCATTGGAAGGCTTTGATATTTCTTGCAAGTCTTCCTAATGCCTACGTTTAGGTTGCAGTTCTCTTGTGTCTCCTCTGCCCACATTCCCAGGCTGCTTTACCTTACAAATGAGGGGAGAGAAAACCAAGGAAACGAATGTCTGTGTTTCAAGAGCATTTTTGGATATACCTGGTATTTTTCATAAGTAGAACTTACGGCTGAAACATATTTCATGTATTTCTTGCTTTGTTTTTTTATTAATCTGTGTATCACAGATAATCCTCTAGCCAAAGTTCAGAGATTATCTGAAAATGCTGTTTTTAAGGAAAAGTACAAGAAGCATTTAAGACAATGTGTAAAACAGGAAGAAGTGCATTTTGCCAATGATGTAATTCTATGTTCATTCCAATATCTATCTATAATTCTGCATTTTGTCTCATAGGTACATCATCCCAGCTCTGCAGAGGTCTGATGGTGGCTTCTACCAGTGCATCGTCCGGAATAGGATGGGGGCACTGCTGCAGAGGAGATCTGAAGTCCAAGTGGCATGTATGTGTGCATGGAAGTTATTCTTTAGCTAACCAACTTCTTTTGTGGGTAAAGAAACAACATACCAATAGCATTTGCTAGTCTGAAAAGGTATTAGATGTCACGTTTAATACATTTTTGAATTATTGCATCACAAGAAGTTTCATACTCTGCTTATCTACTGGGAAGCAGCTCCAGGTGGTGCAACATTAAGTCTTTAGAACAAGCTTTGAGCTGATAACTGTAGCGTGAGAAAACTATTATACCTTTCCTTGAATACACAGGGATTAAGCAAGGCCACCTGGCACAAAGCCATCAATCAAAACAATGACAAAAACCAGCCCAGAGGACAGCAGAGAATATCTTAAAGAAAACCATATCTTGTAGATAGTGCCATGAAGATTTCGGATCATAATCTTGTAATACATAATCAGCAGTTCATAGAATCATCAAGGTTGGAGGAGACCTCTAAGTTAATCAAGTCCAACCATTAACCTGTCACTGCTGTAACTCCTGAGCCCTAAACCATATCCTTCAGTGTCTGATCTAGATGTCTCTTAAATATTTCCAGGGATGGTGACTCCACCACCTCCCTGGGCAATATTCCAGTGCCTGAACACCCTGACAAGGAAAATTCTTTTCTAATATCTAATCTGAATCTTCCCTGTCTCAGTTTATGACCATTCCCTTTGGTCCTCACACTGCAGTTGTTTCACAACAAAAGCCTTGCTAGCAGTACTTTAAAAGTCTGTTCTCTACGCATGTTTGAAGCAAAGCCTCCAATGTTTGCACAACTTTAGCTTGGACTGTGCAGAATTTTTGCTATCCAAGTGCCATTTGGAAAGGGTAAGTTGGTTTTCTCAGGAGTTAGTGCTAGTGAACATGACATAAGAAATGATCACATACTCTTAATTTTCTTTTTTTAGCTAACATATAGAAAATATACTCCAAATAGCTTACTTGGAAATAATGATAAAATTAAGCCTTATTCTTTTTTCAAAGTAAAAGCATAAAAAAATTAAAAAGAGACAGATTTGTATACTGCATCTAAGAAGTCTACAAGGATCACATTTCTCCTCCTCAGGGTCAGTAAGTGGAAATTCAGTGGTAAGAAATGTCACTTGGTAAGTGGAATTTAGAGAAAGTGAATTATTTATTAGAAACTCAATTTGAAGGAACTAAGTCAAGTTAATCAGTGTGTCAGTGAGGGAAATTACATGGAATTTCCTGTGTTTTAAAAGAAAACCAGTTGCAAAGGGCATTATGTAAGTTTTGGTATCGTGTTCATCAGTTTACTGCATTACAGTAGATTATGTTACTGTATCTGTAATGTCAGTAACATCAGTAGTTTGATGTTTGATCTCTCTATTGTTTCAGAGCTTCTGGGAGCTAAAATATAAATAAACTGCTGCTAAAATGGGTTTTTCTTTCCCTGCCTTCTACCAAGCCTTATGCCCCTGCTGTCTGGTGACACTGTGTCACTCTGATATGTGTCAAACCCTTGCAAGTGCTTTCCCAAGTACTTTTCTTCAGTTTTAGTGACTGTATCAGGTCACAGAGGATCTGCTGCAGGTGACCACAAGTAAGAGTCCAACAAGGGTAGGAGGGGAAGATGAAGCAGGGGAAGGTGAGGGTGAGGTGTGTCTTGTCCTGCAGCAGTGAGCCATCAGAGGAGCCTGGATGCCTCTGAATCTGCATCTCCAGGTGTGGTTTCAGGGGACAAAGGCTTTGGTAGCAGTACCAGAGAAAAATGGACCCATTTCCTCCTCCATCCCACAAATTGTTCCCACTCTTGTCTTGCAGTGTAGCACACCATCCCTTTAGGCTCAGCAGGAGAAGTTGTTTGTGCAGCTGTGGGCTGGGAAACTTCTCCAATTTTTTTTAAAAAGCAACAATTATTTTGTTGGGTTGTTAAAGTAGCTCTTTCCCCTCTCTTCCCTCTCTGATTCCCACACAGCTGTACTAGCAGTGGTAATGACATAGTGGAGGGAGCAATTCCTGAGGAAGTACTTGTGGGAATAATAGTTAGAAGGAGACACAGGAATACTTTACCTTGCTGCTGCTGCTGAAGAATTCTGTCTCCTGAAAAGACAGCTTTATTCCCCTCTGAACGAGGGGAAGATTTGCAGTGAAGTGTTTTGTTTCTCTGGGGTGGTTTGTGTATGTGTTTTATTGTTCTGGAGAGAGGAAGAAGTGCAATTGTTTGCTTTTCTTCAGTTTTAGTTTCCCCCATCACTTAATTTGTAGATCTGCATTGCTGAACAAGGCTAAAAAGCTCTTGTAAGAGTCTCTGTCTGAATTAAGTGGTCTATTTATTCATTTATTTATTTGTTTTCACTGATAAAGACATTGAGACAAAGCAAAATGGATCTTATATGACTTGGAAGACCTTTGGTCTTGAATCTGCAACGTCATACTTGGCTTCTATAGTGACATTGCCAGTCAGATTTGCACTTTATTCTTGCAGATGAAAGTGTTCCATAAGTTTTAAATATTCCCTTTCCCCCATACCCAGGTTAGCCACTGATTGTTTTCTGTATTTTAGCATTTTTGATCTAAATTAATTGATTTAAGCTGTGTGGATAGAATGAAATTCCTGATATTTTACCATATTTTACTCTTTGGTTATTCTTGAAAACCTATCAGAAAGCAACATTCCAAGGGGTTCCTAAATCAGCTTAGCCAGTGATCAGGAGTCACAGGGAATTGTATGTTCGAGATGTAACTGAGGAAATGAACTGTTTTTGCCAGTGGAAAGAGGATACTTCCCAAAACACTTCAGCTCAAGATCTCTAGTGAAAAATTGAAAGCTATAATTATAATGTGCACTAGGAAGATCTGAGGTATTTGCCATGTCCCAGATAGCTGAAGTAGCAGGGAACCTGTTCAATAATTTAAAAAGGATTCTCAACACATGCTAACATATTACCTAACTGAATGGGAACAGATATTTGGGAGAGAACTGCTGAGTAAATCTTAATTACAGAAGGGGCTTAAAAACTCTGGGATTGTGAAAAGTGGAATAACCATACGACAGTGAAGTTAATTAGATCCACCTACACGGCTTGAAACTTCTTTTCAAGTAGCTGATCTGATTACAGTTGTAAGGAATATGGAGCAACAGAGGAAGTACAATGCTGATTATGTCTGAATAAATAACTTGAAAATCACAAAGATGATTAAAGCTTCTTTAAAATACCATGTGTTTTTAATTTCTGCTCTTGTTCTGTCTCTTCTCATCTCCTGCTGTCCACAGACCTGATAGTCTTCTCTTTTCTGTGTCCTCTGCATCCCTCTCTGCAGCACAGAACTTGTGGAGAACCCTGTGGTCCTTAAAAGAAAGAAAAGGGAATTCAGTGACAGAAGCCAGAATAGTTCTCTGTTTGTGTGTGTCAGCTTCTTAGTTGAAATCAATTTAAAATGCATAGAAGTTCTTTGGAGGGTGAATAAGTAAGAGCCTACAGCCCTGTTTATTATAATGGGTAGGAACGTTGTACAGAAGGCAAAAGAAAAACAAGAAGAAAATATTCACTGACTATTTCCAAGGACTCCCTGGATATGTGAACTTGCCTGTGAAATAAAGCCTTCAGAGGCAGAGGTTCTGCAATGGTAGTTTCCTTTCTCCCATTAACATTTTTGTTAAAAGCTGCTCTTAAGGCTAGTGATGCCTTTATAAATGTCAGAGATCAAGGATGCTCTGCTGAAATCATAGTGTAGTGCCAAAAAAACTAGTAGCTCGCAGCACAACTGTGGCCTTATTACTTTGGTACCATTTGGCCATAGTGGCTTTCTTGCATAGGTTTGACCATCCTCTGGCCTGACTGCAGTGCTGCAGCTGCTTGTCCATCTGTGCAGTGATGGAGAACAAAATGATGACCAAAAAAACTGATAAATTTCTCTTCACCGTGAGCATTCCTTTGCATTGCAGGAGTTTCTTTCTTTATTGTACAGGGATTTATCTAAAAATAACCAAGCCCAAACCAAGCAAACCTCCATTAAAATGTCACTGTCAGTTAAAACCACTGAGTTATTGCTAAAGAACACCAGGGCATGCAGGACACACTGAAACACTTGGGTTTGCCTCCTGCCTTATCCTCCTCCAGATCTGTGTAAATCAGAACTGCCCCATGATCCATAGTGTCCTGTAGACTAATTATAGCAATGCCAGTGGCTGTTGAGAAACACATTTCTCTGCTGAAAAAGAAATGGAGAGAAAGACAAGAACTTCCAGGGCTCTGAGTATCAGTTTTTTTTCTTCGCAGACATGGGAAATTTCCTGGACACAGACCAGAAAAAAACAGTGACTGAAGGACAAGCTGCAGTTCTGAACTTCCCACACATCCTCAGCTATCCAAGACCCCAAGTGACATGGTTTAGAGATGGGCACAAGATTATACCAAGCAGCAGAATGTAAGTGGATTTAAAGCTCAAAATACACCACCCTAAAATATGATTAATTATCTTTGATAACGCAACTTACATTTTAAGTACACTAATTAAGGTTTAAAGAGAATAAAGTAGCCTTGTTCATACTAAGTTTGAGATAAATTACTATTTTAAGACCAGCTCTGAACTTCCAAAGCAGTTTGACAAAATAATTCATGTGGTTTTAATGGTCCTGGTGCAGCACGAGGGCCTGGATCTGCAGAATGTCTGTGCTTCCCTCACACTAGACATTTTCATGATCCATTTTGGAAAAGTAAATGCTCAGCTCTCAATTACATTTACTTGAGTGAACTCGCTTTATGAATACTGAGATTTTCCTTTTGGTATATATGAATCTGTGGGGTTTTTTTTTCCCAGAGTTATGCTTAGTGCTATTTTCCTCACAATAAAATTCCAAATAGTGTTTATTTGTTCATTATTTTTTTTAGCCTCCAATGAGTTTTACTGCTTTTTGAACAATTAGCAGCTCACCCACTAATGGCACAGTACTTACACTTTGATTAGTTACTATCTCAAGGTGTGCTCATTTATTCTTTCCTGCAACAGTTATGAAACCATCCTGTGTTTTTACCTGCTCAGTTTCATGTAGAGACTGAATGGATTTATTGTAACATTCAAAAATGTTGATTAAATCTTTTTTACTTGCCTCACTTATTAGGAAACGGTTGAAATGCCAGGAATTTAGGTTTTATTTTAACTGTATATTATATTTCCATGTGTTCAAAGGGATAGATGTGCTAGCAAATAATGGTAATGGGATATTTCTGTGTTCCAGAAGGAGTGTTGAGTCTTTGGAGTTTATATTAGAAAGGAAAACTCTTTGTGGATTTGAATTTTGTTAATCCATCAGGTATATTTTACTGCTGCTTATGTGCATTTTTGAAACCTGAAAGCTAGTGTTACAGGCACTTTGAAACTGTTACAATTAGTATTGCAGGGATGTGAAGAAACTAGGTAATAATTTATGAATAATTTAATAGTAATTGGATGGGAAACAGCTGGAAGATGAAACAATGGGTTCCTGGGCAATCTCTTGAAGAGAGCTAAGTGACAAATCCTGAGTTATTAACCATTAAGAATCTACTTCCTCCACTTCTGCCATGTTACAAATTTTCTTCTGTGGATGCTGAGAATACACAAATCAGAAATTCACAGGTGGTGACAAAGCTTTGTTATCCTGCTACCCAAGAGTTGCTTGGGAAACCTTACAGGGGAACAGAGTGACCAAGGCAGTGTCTGAAAATGAGATTTGCCTGAGTTTTCTTACAGTTTGGGAAAATTGCAAGTAGAGATATATGTGTCAATGTATTTGTTAACCTAAAAAATCTTCATTTTCATCTGATGTGCTTTACTCTTACTCCTACCCTGTTGGGATTGTTGGGGTCAAAATCACTTGGAACTCATGGACTGTGGTGACATTCAAAAATGGGAGAACTCTATAACACTGATCTATAGCAAGGCTGAAATATACCTCAAGGTTTCCATATCAATTTTATTTCCCTGGTCAGAAATTTTGTCTAAAAGGAACCTGGGGACATTTATCTGACCTGTGTAGGAATCTCTGAATACTTTTGCAGTGGAGGTACACAGGCTGAAAGTGTGAGCCTCCTTGGAAGTTTGATATATGCCATGCAGTAAGGCTGCTACGTTCAGGAAGTGACAGATTTATGGTACACATACCAATCATCAGAGCACTCTGTAGGTCTCAAAGTACTGGAAAAAACCAGACAGCATCCACTTACATCTTGCTATCTGGGAAATTTGGGAAGTAAATATGGCAGTCCAATAAATTTGGGAAACCTGAGAGGATGCATATAAAACTATGAGAAATACCTTATGGGAACTGTTTCTTATCTGTGGAACAAGTTGTACATTTTACATATTTTTCATACACACAGAGGTGTATCAATTTCACTGATCAGTTTGCTGGGTGATCCAGTTAGGCTGATCTGATCCATCAGTCTAACTGGATCTCCTGCTAAAGTGATCAGTGAAATTGATACAACCACCTTGTATGATGCTCTTTAATCTGATTAAAAGTACCTTATATTGCTAAATCAATATAAAGCTTTTTTAATGCTCTTGAACAAGCTTACAATGATTTGGCTAAATCAATCAGCTTCTGTCAGCTGTAATAATGATTTCCAAGAGTGACATTGCTGTGGTGTATGTGGACTTGAGGACATAAGCAGGGCTAAAAACAGGGAGAGGAATGGTGGTTGTGCTACAATTCATTCAAAGAGTTGGTCAAGGTAACTCTTACTCATGCAAAAGCCTTAACATACACGTATTTAACACTACAGCACTTTTGTGCCTCGATAATGATCCTCATGCTTAGGTACCCAGAGCTACTGTCACTCCTAGAATGGATTTATTTCACTGATATGGGAGTGTGTGCCAAGTTTTTGCTTATGTGAGAGATACAAAAGATCAAAAGTAGGACTAGTTCTGAGACAAAAAAAGAAATTCTTAAGATGTTTTAGGAAATGTCATATAATTGGCAGTGACAAAAAAAGAAATTCTTAAGATGTTTCAGGGAATGTCATGTAATTGGCAGCAGGGTTTACCTAGCAGGTTTAAGGTAGTAAAAGCTGATGTCTTTCTGCTTCACTGTGTACCAGTATTTAGGACACCTATGGGGAGGGGATCTGCCAACTGTTCAGTATTCCAGAGGTAGTGTATTTCTAGGGAGCCAAGGTAACACAAGTGCTGAATTGTCAAAAACTATAGTATCACTATATGCATTTTTTTAAAGATACATTGCACTGTGTCAAAGAAGACTCTTATTTGTTCTTTGTGTTTTCTGATAATGATACACATTGACTCAGTTGCCAGTTCTAACAGATCATAGAATAGTTGGGATGGGAAGAGACCTCTAAAATTCAGCTAGTCCAACTCCCCTGCAATGATCAGAGATATCTACTAGACCAGAGTGCCCAGAGCCCCACACAGCCTGACCCTGAATGTTTCCAGGCATGGAGCATCCACTGCATCTCTGGGCAGCCTGTGCCAGTGCCTCACTACACCCAGCATGAAAAACTTCTTCCTTATATCTACATTCTTCTAGTTTGAAACTATTAGCCCTTGTCCTGTCACTATATGTCCTGTCACCTTGTCAATTGTTTAGGCTGGGGGGAGAAAGGTTCAGTGTATAGCTTTGGTTTCACTGGTTTTAGTCAGAATGATAATCCTACTCTCTGGGTGTGCATGGCACTGACATTTTCTGGCAGGAACTTTCCTCTGAGACACAGGCAATTTTTTTCAAACTGTATATTCTGTTCGATTTAACTGCTGGTGTTACTTGTGGTGGAATTTTGCAGCAAATAACTGCATCGGTTCCTGGTTTAGTGGTGTTGCTAATATTTTGTTAAAACCTCCAGATAGAAACGATAGGATGACAAATTCCTCTTAAATGAGTGGGTGTGTAAAGTCAGCAAATCCCTGTGTAATACATGAATGGGAAACAAGTGGCCTGCACCTACTCCTGGGGTTGTTGTTGCAGTTTATGACTCAGGCAACAAACAAATCTGTAGCAGAACTAGTGCGACATGATGGTGTGGATTTAAAAATTTAAATCCTAAAACTCACCTTCATCCTACTTAGTACAGTGTGGGTATATATTCATTTTGATTTTTATGCCTTCTCTGTCACCAAAGCCTCAGGCTGAAGTTTTAAAGGGGTGTTTCAGAAGGATGCTAGAAAAATATGGAGAGTTGGAGAGAAGACCAAAAGTTCAAGAACAAGAGAAAATGAAAGGAATTAGGGTTTGAGGTGTTCATTATTACTTTGCATTCCCCAAGAACTTTTAGAAAAGACTTCTCATTACACCTAGACAGATTAACATTTTCCAAATACCCCAGTAGCCTAATGTGGAATTAAAACTACACTGTTATCCAGGGGCTTATATGGAGAGTTGGAGAGAAGACCAAAAGTTCAAGAACAAGAGAAAATGAAAGGAATTAGGGTTTGAGGTGTTCATTATTACTTTGCATTCCCCAAGAACTTTTAGAAAAGACTTCTCATTACACCTAGACAGATTAACATTTTCCAAATACCCCAGTAGCCTAATGTGGAATTAAAACTACACTGTTATCCAGGGGCTTGACTGATGGTTTCACCTCTCTTTCCCTGCGCATCTTACCGAAAACAATAGCCTCTCTAAAGGTAACTGCATCAAAAGAAATTGCTACTCTGGGATGTCAAGCATTCAGCTTGCCTTGCCCAGGTCTACTTCATCAGGCTTAAAAGCAGAGCACATTTAACTTCCCTTACATGAGCACGTACAGTACCTTGGAGAGACACAAAGGACAGTAGCACCGTCAGGGTCTACAATTGCCTTTCAGTTGTGGTATTGAGAAATTAAATTCTTAGTACTCTTAGAGGGGTTTTTTTTACCTTTTTCTAAGTGAAGCACATTTCACTGAAAAGGTTCACTCCAGCTATCAAATCATTTATTGTTGGTTTCTTCTTTAAGAAGAAAACTTCTATGCAGACATTATTGCTGTCTTCATTAACTCCCTTACAGCAAAACTGTTATTTTCCTCTAGTAAGCTGCAGTTAGATGAATGTTAACTCATGTCTTTTGTTAGTGGAACTATGTCTGACACAAACCAGGAAGGTTCATTTTTGGCATATAAAGGCACTTCTGGGTTGTCCCTTTCAGCTGGGTGGACATTTAGTCACGTAGTTGACTGTTAATGAACCGAAACACTTTACAAATGTACTTCAACCCATTGGAAAGGGAAGACGAATTGCATTGACTTTAGGTACACATGAGTTAATATCTATTTTTTGCAGTAAGAACAATTCATTATGCATTTGGATGTGTGTGGTCATTACTGACTCTTAGAGAGACTAAAGGTGCTGACAGATTGTGGAAGTGAAAGCACATTAGGCACAAGTAACTGTCAAATCTGACTTGCTGTGGTTTTGAACACTCACAATACCTTGCAAATAAGCAAAAC